AATAAAGTTTATTTACTCTTTAACTACACATTCTCTAAAAATACTATTCAAAACTCTTTAATTTTTGAAATAATGAGTGTCAAACAGGGCCTAGATATCATTCTAATGCAATGATTTGATCAAATATAAAAATGACTTTTAAAAATAATATTTAAACTTATAAAATATATTTTATCTTGAAAAATTAGTTAAAAATATTTTTGAAAAGTCTATGCCTTTCAAAATTTTCAATTGGAACAAATGGGACCAAAACGTAAAAAGACCAAAATTGTTGGGCTGTCAACTGGCCAAAAGTGGCAGTCGATCGAAAATTTCCAACGATCCAAAAATTGAACGTTCGAACCTCTATTTTTACTGAACAACCAGCTATATTGATCATTCAGACAAGTGACGATCGACCGAAGATATCATCCTAACTTACAATTTTTTTTTAATTTTTTTTTGTATTTTGAACTCTATAAATATCCCTGGTCTTTCTATTCTTCATAAGAGATTCAAGAAAATAAAGTGAGATAGTTTCTTTTAGATAATTTTTTGAGTTTTCCTTTGCATTCATTTTATATATTTCTTTATAAAAAAACTTTGATTGATTCAAACTCTTTAATCATTATCATCAAAGTTTTTCATATCTATTTTTGTACTTAACTTATTTTTATTATTCATAAAAGAAAGATATGCGTCGAAGAAGATTTTTGAACTTATATTATGCCCCCGTTTGACCCCTATTTTCTTTCATTTTTTTCCTTTCTTATTTTCAACCACACTATCTTCCATAAAATAATATCATACGTAAACCAAAATTTTTTTATTCTTTTTTAACCACACATTTTTCAAAAAACACTATTCTAAACATTAAAATTTGAAAAAATGGAGGCCAAACGGGGGCTTATATATTTTTCTTCTATTTCTTTATATTGAAAATTTTGATTTATTGAATCAAACTTGTAAACTCATCATATTCATCAATATTTCTCATTTCTCTCTAGGTGCTTAATTTATTATAATAATTCATTAAGTCCCCGTTTGCCCCCCATTCTCTCCAAATTTTAATGGTTGGAATAATGTCTTTTTAAAAAATGTGTGGTTAACAAAGAATGAAATTTTTTTTATTAGCGTGTAATATTATTTTATGAAAGATTGTGTGGTTGAAAAGAAGAGAGAAAAATAATGAAAAGGAGAATAGGGGCCAAATGGGGGCTAAAAAGAGAGATATTTTGAGAATATTTTTGAACGTACAATGCATTTATTTCTTCTTCGTTTTCTTGTTGAAAAACTTTGATTAATTGAGCCAAATCTTTAATTATCATACTCATCAATGTTTTTCTTTCAACACTTGAGCTATCGTTTATTACTATTCACTGAAGTGTTAGTCTGTCTTAGTACTTAATTCATTTATATTATGTATTAAGAGAAGAGTTTCATAGAAAAATCATTTTTTTAAACTTGTAGGTCATATTGAGGCCCCGTAAAGTTCAATATTGTATAAAAATCGATACTCCTTGTTTGTAAATCATCGAAAGCATTGTAGAGAGTTGGATTGTACAACAAGTCGATCAATATAGTGAAAATGCATTGCTCGTGTCAGAGAGCTTGGTAATAGAGGACATAAATCCTTGCTTTGAATTGAACCTCCACAATTATATCGTTTGCGTCCTCTGTATCCTTTCACTTATCGTTATCTTATTTATTATTTGATTGATCTACTTGCTTTTATTTGTTTATTATTATTAATTGATCAACATGTCCTTTGCTTCCTTGATTTCAATTTATTTTTCGAAAAGCTTTTAAAAACCAATTCACCCTCCTTTCATTAGTTGCTCTTGGGCTTTACAAAAGATTTTTCCATTAAAAAAATCATTTCATTGCTTTTGTTGCTCCAAAATGAATATTTTATAATAGATAGATATTTATTATTCCTAATCTTATCTCAACTTAGTATTGAACAAGGGCCGCTTTGTTTGTGTTTTAATTTTTAGTTTTTTAAATTTTTAGGTCATTTTATATTTTTAGTTTTGAGTGTCCGTTTTAAAATTTTTAAAAATACGTTGATACGTCATTTTGAAAAATTATTTCTCAAAACTAAAAATTAGAAAACATTTTTAATTTAAAATTTTATGACATTTTATTTTATTAAATTTGATTATCCAATAAAAATTATGTTAATATATTATAATGTAGTATATACATTTTCAAGTTGGTAAATCTTAAAATAATTTTCTCGCTAAAAAATTTTAAAATTAAGTTTGAAATATAGAAAAATAATAATAATAATTAATGACACAGACTTATAATATTTTTTGTCTGCATTCATTTAAATATATATATTTTTAAATTTTAATGTAAATAATCATTGGTTAGAACTATTTTTATTTTTTGTTTTTCTAGAATTTATCATAATTTTATTTTTCTGAATTATAATCATATTTTTTTAAAATTTCAATTTTTTAGAATTTTAGAATTTGTTTTTCTAAAATTTTATTTTTTGAATTTATAAATTATATTTTTAGAATTTATAAATTTTCGTAATTTTAACTTTTTATTTGTTAATATTTATATTTATATTTTTCTAAAATTTCATTGAAACACTTGTTTTCCAGGTTTTTAGTGCTTTATTAAAATTGCGTTTTGTGTTTTATGTTATAATTTGATCCATGCTTTCAAAAATATATTTTCAGAAATACTAGATCAAACATGTTTTTTAATGTTTTGCAAAATTGAAAAACATATTGCAAAAAATAAATCAAATGCACTCTAAATGTTCTATTGCCATTCAATTGATGTTAATAATTTTCTTTTCCATGTCCATTGAGTTTTGCAGAACTCATATATTTTAGGGATAAAAAAAGATAGAAATTTCTTGAACAAACGACAATTCCTCCAATATATTAATGATGCATTTGATTATCAATATTTTTCATGAAAAATATGTTTTTTCTACCAAAATTTCAACTTTTGTACTATTTTAATTAACATTTTTTTTCATGAAAAATATATTCTTACTTTTAGTCACGTAACTATATTTTTCTCAAAATCAAGAAAAACATTTTCTTTAAAGGGATTATGATTTTATTTTCTAAGGAATCAACTCTCTCTTATCTATCTCTTTTTTCTCGTCTACCCGTCAATAAATAATAGACAAGTATAATATATTCTAGGTTGAAATTTAAATCAAACAAATTCATTTAATTAATAATTTCCATACGAATAAGTTTTAGGCAATTGAGAATTTATTTTCTTTCTATGAAATTTCCACGGTTGCAATTAAATGCACCCTAAGAATCATTTTGAATTTTAAAAAAGAACATCTACATCAAGCCACGTCAATTCTTCAGACCAATCATTGGAAAATATTAAACATATAAAAGTTGTTTTGTTTGTTTCGCAAAGATAAAAAATGCTCTTTCGTTTAACAATAGCTAAGATGTGAATTCGAAAGTAGTTAAGTATTTTAAATTTCATCTAATTTTTAGATAAATTTGATAGAAGCATTTAATTCTTTTTATATAAAAAGAAGGATTAAAAATTACTTTAGTAGATTTTGATAAAACCTGATGAAATGTATGGTTCAAAAGTTATAGGACCCGTAATATATGTACTTAAAATTAGTTGTCGACTTTGACTTAAATAAAAATCTAAATTTTAATTGCTATCAACTATGGGCATAATCTAAATCTAAATTCCTAAGAATACAAGGCCCTGCTTGATTTGTTTCTAGTTTTCAATTTTGACTTTTGAGTATAATTTGTCTTTTGTTTTGAGGATCTATTTTAAAATTGTTAAAAATGCATTTAATTTGTCATTATGAAAAATTGTTACTCAAAACTGAAAACTACAAAGCACGTTTTGTTTGGAATTTTGATAAATAATTTTATAATGTTTTATTCCATGAAATTTGATTATTTTAATAAAATAGAACAATTTATATTATTATCAAGTGTGTTTACTTTTTAAAGTCAGTAAAATTTTCTATTATTTTACTATTTTTCCTTACTTCTTAATCACATTTTCAAAAAATCACTATTCAAAACTCTATTTTTCAAATATAATGATCATCAAACCGGGCTACCGGGCTAAATTAAACCCCAAAGACAAGTCTTTCAAGAGCAATCTATATTTACAGCTTGTTTGGGAGTGATTTTTTGGTCCAAAAAATTGATTTTTTGACCGTTATTTAACTATTCCAACCGTCATATTTGACTTCTTCTCTCACAGATGGACCCTACTTTTCTCCTAACGATTAAAAAATTAATTCTCAAAATCACTTCCAAACAGGCTCTTAAGTCCTTTGATTCCCATTTTGGGTTAGAACAAACTGAGTTTTAAAATAATGCCTTTTTAAAGAATGTGTGGTATAATGAAGACTTTTAGCTTTATGTGTAATTTTATTTTATTGGAGAGTGTTTGATTGAAAATCAGAAAAATAAAATAAATTTTAAGATTAAAGGAGTCCAAATAGGGGCTAATTATGAGCCCTAATTGCTTGAAATTTAGGCAATAATAATTGTGGTATTTCTTAGCCATAAACCAATAAATAATTATATATTGTGTAATAAACAATGCAATTAACAATCATTTTATCTGGCCAGATACCCTAATCATATAATTCTTGAAAAATAAAAGATTTAATCAGAAAATGCTACTTGGCCAGGTTGGACAAGAAGACTAGTTTTCTTAATATTTAGGCTTCCTTAGACTGCATTGGCCATTAAAACGTGCTTGCCTTTATAACACATTTTTGCTGTTGTAAGGTTGGAAAGTCATTTTCCATTTCCTAACTTTTATTCTTTTTCTCAATTTTCTTATTGTTTCTGGTGGCCCTCTAAACCTACCCAAAAGACATGGCCAGCCAATCGTAGAAAAGCTGCAATACATTGACAATTTTACCCTCGATCTTCCCCGAATACTTCGGTATACACCACTACGTAGTCTATTCTACACCCTTGAACTGCTCCTGCTATTTTATAGTATAAGCACCGTATCATAACGGAACCATGTATTGGTATTTGAAGGTGTGTATTGTTAGGAAAATGTCTTTTTGATAACACTAGTTTTGTCATTTCACACAACATGAGAATACAGAATATGACCCCACGGCTAGTTACTAAACAAAGATGAGTCTTATAATCAATATTCTTATCAACATGATGAAAGCAATTATGGTGCTTAAGGCACTAAGTATTAAAGAATCATATGGCAAAGTATAATCAGAAAGAACAGAATGTAATGATTTGACAAGAGAACAGAAACCACCTCTTCAAATTCTTCTTCTTCTTCTTCTTCTTCTTCTTCTTCTTCCTCCTTCTCTTTGTAAAGGCTGTGCAAAGAAAGATGGACTGTTCTATCTGCAGCGCGATGCCATATATTCTAAGGCCTCCAAGAAATACAATATGCGGAGCTTGCTACGAGGGGGCCAGAAGTATAATCACCTTCACAAACAAACTCGACAATGAGAAGGGGACAGAAAAACCAAGTAACAATTCAGTTTCTTCGTCTAATTCCACTAAGGTACGATGCTTTTCAGGCATATTGATTGTTCGTAATGAAATCATAAGATTCTGATGCCATTGAAAAATGAATTATGCAATGTTTTTTATTCTTTCTTTTATAGAAATTTTAGCAATTCTAATGATGCTTGAACCATGAATCGCCATTCTGCGCTGTTGAATGACTCCATGTTTCTAATACAACAGTTCAACACATTCATTTATATTAGTCAGAGTCAATCTGCAAGTCATACATACAAAAAATCAATTGGTAATACTACAAGAATACCAAGAAAAAAACAGCACACTCGCAAGAAAGCTACCAGGAAACTTTATACGACAATTAAGATAATTAAGAGATCAGCAGGCAGTTGGCATTTTTAAATATAAATTAGAAACCAAAAAAGTTCAACTCTAATTAATTCAGAACTGATTTGCATAAGAGTCAAATAAAAATTGAAAACATTTAAGAAAATATATTTGAAATACTAATTAGCTTAATGTATTCAGCCTCAAAAGTGAATAAATTTAAAGTAACCACCTTGTATATTTTACTCCTTAAATAGAATGTTATCATTATGGAATAACATTTTTGAATGCATCTCTCCATCTCAGTGAAATACTTCCCAATTTTTTGAACTTCAAGGTGATAAATTGGCATTGTTGTTTTCATAATATTAGGGACTAGCAGATCTATTCATTTCATGTCAGATACAAGAAGTGGGATATTTCCTATCCAAACAGATCAAGAGTCAATCAGCATTACACCAAAATTTTTTAGTAAATCCTAAAATGCTACCTATCACAAGAAATAATAAGAATTAAAAAAAAAAAAAAAAATTACCTTCCATCCCACAGTAGGCATTTTCTTAGTCTAAGCTTGCTACTTCTCAACAAAAAAGTCTTTCCCGTAACCATAACTATATTCCTGTGCTGGTGTGCTTGCTGGCATGAAGTGAGAATTGATTGGGCAACAACGGCAGAATATACTCAGAAAAGATTATTTTCTCAGTAAAAAATTTTCTGACAAGTGAAAATTGTTCATGATGTTCTCAGGGATTGGCAAATGCTTTGAAATGGGTGAAGGAGATGAAGGAACTGGAAGAGGAGTTAATCGAGAAGATAAGCTTTCTGAGTGGATTTGCGGCTTCATTTAGGGATCAAATTCACACTGATATTCAAGTCAAGCCTGGAAACGATGGACCCTCGATACCTGCACACAGAGCATTATTGGTGTGTAAGCAACAGCAGTCATCCCACTCCCC